TATCTAACTTAGCCTTGATTGGCTTTCTTTTGATTACTTTTAGATTGGTTGAAGATTTCTATAGAGTGTCATTTCTTTTATTGAGCACCGGTGTAGTTGTGTAGAAATTAATTGAATCAACCAAAATCATAGTTACGGAACCTTTTTCAAGTTCTTTCTACTTTTGAAATTCTCCTCAAACCAATCCTTGAAGATAAATAATTTTTTATGGTGTGGCCGAACAATCAGTTGTATGGGCAGTATTGGGGATGGTCATCATGGTCACCCTCTTCTGATTTTTTTGGTTCCGGTAGTCTGAATATTTGTTTCTTTAGTAATTTATGGAATATCTCCACCACTGACTCCTTCTTTAGTGAATATACCTTGTTTAATCATTGATTCTTTATTAAATACGACTTTTTATTTGCAGAATGCGACCTCCTTTCCTGTGCCTTTGTCAGTTATACAGGCTTTGAATTTGACCCAATCTCAAATCCAAAAAATGGTGGGGCATAAGCATCAACTAACTCTTCCTTATGTAGAATCTCTTTTCCTTTACTTAGTCGAACAATTGGCGTGGTGATGGTGAATCCGGTGGTAGGATCAGAAGCAGTCCTTGGAGAAGTCCCAACGCTCCTAACGACAGACTTTATACAATAGTAGGGTTCTTTTTGACAAACACTTTTGAAGGTGAGAATTCTTTGACAGATTTCAAGTTGAACTCTACAATAAGCTCCACAGAGTTATCTGTTTCGAACTTCATTACTGTGATGGCCACCTTCCCGAACTTGACTCCAATATCATCGAACCATTGTCCAAACTTAATTACTGTCAGGTCAGATAGCTTATCCTTGTTGACAGCGAACTCCATTCCGAGATTAGCGAACTCCATTCCTTAACAACTACCGGGCGGTACTTTCCACCTACAATGTAGCTGCAAAGTTCTCAAGCGACGAAGAAGTAATTACGGTCCGAGAAAACTTGGAGCAGTCAAATAGCAGTTTTGAGCATCGACCATGAAAACTCGACATTTAGATCCAGAGGGAGGGGGTCTCGAGACCAATGAGATTGTCCTCCAATTTTTAGTGTTCAACGAAGAACCCGGTAAAGTTTTTTTGATCAGTGAATGTTTTGAATAGAATTCAGGAACCAACTGGTACAGACAATTAGGGAGCACCGGGAAGTGTTTGCTTGGATTGTAGTGGAAATGCCCAACGTTTCGATCGACTCAACGTGCCACCGACTGAACATCAACCCCTACTCTCAGCCTATCCAAAAGAAGATTCGGTTGACCGCCAGTGATTTGGCCGAACTATTAGCGGCGAAAATACAAAATTTATTGGACGCCAACTACATCTGTGAAGTCTAGTACCCAACTTGGCTCTCGAACGTCATCATGGTTAAGAAAGCCAACAATAATGGTGGATGTGTGTCAACTTCATTAACCTCAACACTGCTTTCGCGAAGGACACCTACCCCTGTCAAATGTTGACACCTTGGTGGACACAACGATCAAATACTTAATAATGAGTTTCCTATACACTTACTCTGATTACCACCAGATAAACATGCATCCAATCAACGCAGCAAAAATGACATTTATTACTGCACAAGACATTTTTTTGTTTAATGTAATGCCCTTCGGGCTTAAGAACATTGGGGCGATCTTTTAGCGCCTCATGGATATAATTTTTTCTAATCAAATGGAAAGAATGTTGAGGCATATGTCGATGATATCTTAGTTAGAATTAAGTCAAACGAACAACACATCGAAGATCTGAAAGAGACATTTAGAACACTCAAAAGATTGAATATGAGATTAAACTCTGCCAAATGCACCTTCGAGGCGTCAGTTGACAAGTTCCTCGTTTTCTTATTGACTCTCGATGGATTGAAAGCCAATTCCGAGAAAATACAAGCAATCGTAAACATGCCGCCCCCACGAAGCATCAAGGAAATTCAAAGACTGACCAATAGTATTGTTGGACCTAGTCGTTTCACCCTGAAGTCGGACGATAAGTGTGCAACTTTTTTTAAAGCATTAAGGAAAAATCAACGTTTCAAACGGACAACCTAATGCGAAGAGGCGTTCAGAGAGCTGTCATTGTACTGGGGAGTCGGGCGAGAGGCTGTAAGCTCAATTCTAGTCCGAGACGAAGCGAGAAAACAATACTTATTCTACTACACCAGCCAAGTGCTTCATGGCACCGAAAGCAAGTACTCGATTATGGAAAAACTAACATTCACTTCGATTATTTCCGCTTGCAAGTTGTGACCATACTTCTAGATGCATCCGATCTGGGTCATCATAGACTATTCGTTGAAATTTGTGCTCACACAGCCGGAGCACTCTGTTCGACTGCTGAAATGGGCGATAGAGCTCAACGAATTCAACATCACCTATATTCCTTGGACGACAGTCAAAGCCAAAGCAATCACAAACTTTCTAGCTGAATTCTCCAAGCAGAGGAGTCGGACAAGCGAATCGTCACTGAAGACAGGACGTAGATCCTTGAAGTCGATGGATCCTCCAAACAGACAACAACAGGACTAGGGTTGGCCCTATGCAGCTCAGTCGGAGAGCATCTCTACCATACGATCGTTGTGGAGCTCAGATCATGAATAATTAGGTAGACTACGAAGCACTAATCGTCGGGCTCCACCTAGCCTACGAGATAGGCACTTGTGACTTCCTAGTAAGTTCTGACTCCTTGCTAGTCGTAAATATGGTTAACAGGGAATTTGAAGCTAGAGACGAGCTGATGGCAAGATACCTAGCCAAGATGAAAAAGAAAATCAGAAGATTCAAGAACTTCCGCATCGAGCACATCAATCGGGAGGACAATCAAGTCGTTGATACTCTTTGTTGGTTTTCTTGCATCTCTATTGGTTGATTTATGCGGAAAACAATAGAATTCTTTAGTATTTTGTGTAAAATGAAAGAATTTTGATATTTCGAGGGTTTTTATTGTATATATGTTGGTTGATGTTAGATTTCTTTAGTGACTCGTGAAAAAAGGAAAGGATTTGTTATGTTTTGCGGGTTTTTATTACATCTTTGATGATTGATTTATGTCCGAAACAATAAAATTTTTAGTTGCCAGTGAAAAACATACTCCTTTTTCTTGATTTTCCTGAAGACTTGATCTTATAAAATTGCTAGATTTGTTATCGTAATATTATTTGTTGTTATTGTAATTTTTATTATCGTGTTATTATGTGTTAAGTAATGTATAACACTTGGTGTAATATGAAAAGTGGACTTCCAACTCTTTTTTGAACTATTAAAATTTATTTCCATTATTCTGTTTGAATTATTTCAGAAATTGCAAACTTACAGCTAATATATATATATATAGATAGCATTTTAATTATTTTTCTCAAAAATGTTGCGTCAGAACAGATTATCCAAACAAGTAGACTGTTTCACCATCATCAATTTTCTAATAGCAACTTATTCATAAAACAACTCATAGTTGTTTCTTAAAAAAACAGCATCTAACCCGAACACCCTAAATCTCAGACTAAGTTTGGGTTAGTAAATCATCATATGTTTTTTCCTCATTTAATGTCACTGCAATATAAAAACAAATTGTTAAGTTCTTCAAAAGTGAAAACTTTTATTTTCATAACTTTAATCAGCAACTACTTTTACTATGAGATTTTTTTTTTTAAAAAAACCTTTATTTTGCTCTCCCAAAATTGACTGTTAAGGTTGCGATTTTCTAATGGTTATACGGTTATAATTTAAATTTAGAGAATGAATCCACCTTTTGGTTCCTTACGCTATAAGAAGTCTCATAGTTATCCCGGATGTGCGGATGATGACATGAATCACACCACGATACTTGCACAATGACAGTGTGCAATTCACATGATTGTTGAACATTCAAACAAAAAAAAAAATATTGCGTGAGGATACTGAAACCATAGACAACCGCTGCGATTCACCGAATCTAGCATTTTTTTTTTTCTCTGCTCCATCACTCCCGATGTCTGTTGGTGGGGCATCCGCACTCGATATTTTTTTTTTCTCGAATGACACATGTAATATTTTCTCCTATTTTTTTGGCGCTAGTTCACTTAAAATGATGTTATAATGCTGCATCTTGATGTTACATATGACATTTATTTGGGTGATTTTTAGTTGTGTTCGACTTATGATTCCTTTTATAGATTTTACTCTTAGATATTAAAACATCGAATGCATATACTTCATTTGATTTTACTCTTTTTGGTTTGATTTTCTTTTTTATATCAAATTGGTTACTAGTGGGATATTGGAAATGCTTTTATCATCTGGTTTGTTGGAGGCTATTCGCCTTCAACCCTCTACTACACCATACTCACTAATTTGGACAGTAGCTAGTGTTTGAATTGTTCGTCAAGTAAATGAGCCGAACACAAATCTTTTGTTCAATCATGTTAGGCTCATTTTAACTCAAAATACAAAAATTATGTATATTATTTATATTAATATATTAAATATATTTATATTTAAGTTTAAATCACAACTCTTGTGATCATTTAATTTTGTTTTCTATTGGATAAAATTGATGCATGTTCAAATCCAACACCAAACATCTATTTTTCTAATCAATTTTATCGAACCAATTTTGAGCCAAATACAACCTGAACACGAACAAGAATCTGTAAATCAAGTCGAATACGACCAAACTAGTCACAAGTAATTTCAAACACGATCCAACTTTGAATGAGCCGAACACGTGTCAAGCCCATGCTCATCAAGCTGGGCTCATTTACCTCCTTGGAATGAAAACCATATTTTGTATTTTGGAGCTATGATGTTCACCAACATGCTAAGAGAACCAACCAGAGTTTCAGTTTGGTGCATTCTTGAGTTAATTTTGCATAAACTTAAATATTCATTTGACACCCCACAAGAATTGCAATGATAGTTACCAAGAAGAAATATTAATAAATATAAAAACTTAGCAAAACATAACAATTATTTAAAAAAAAAGAAAATATGTAAAATATAAAAAGGCGGCATCATGAAATTACAATAAGCCAGTTTGGTAACAAGCATTTCAATAAAGAGTCTACAGATAATGACTGATGGATCAAATTCTTCCCCCTAATCATGAATCAATCCATAGTCCCACAAGAAAGCAATATGATACTACACATCACAACCAAAAGAACAAATTTTTTTCCTTTTTTTAAAAGTAATCAGCTAAAAATTGCTGAAAAATGTAATTTCTGGTTCAATTTAGATTTCATTCTCCAAAAGCTCAGCCCAATGAGATCACTGACTTCCACCGCCAAAGAGGTAGCCCAGAGATGAACCACCGCCTGGAGCTGCATGCACCTTGGTTGAAGGTCGGTCCTGCAAAGTCAAATATTTATATATGTCAATTACATGCTTCCTCTGCGGGGTTGAAAACAAAATTAATAGAAAAATGTAGGATTTGGATTGAGAGAGATACATACAGTAATGAAATTTCCATTGTTCTGACCGTCTGCTCGGAAGTAATTGTTTGTGAGATTTCCCAGCATGCCGGCGGGAATCTGCTTGGTGTCATCAATGGGAGATGGATTTGGATTCCGAGCAGGGTTTGGGTTGTTGGCGGCGGATTTGGCAGGCTCGTCGCCGCCAAAAAGGTAGCCCAAGGAGCTCTGCCCTCCGCCGCTGCTGACTCCTCGACCCATTCTCACGTGACCGGATGCCTGCTGTGTTACCTGAAGGAGTTTTGAAGGTCAGCTTAGGATTTGATAATCTAACATTCTGTTAATTATGTGGATTATATCTCTAATAACTCTGACATTGGCCTACATCTAATTTGTTAACTTCAGTTTTTCTAATGAATCTTTAGTATGCTTTACAATTTTGTTCGTTTTGATCATTTAATGCAAAACTTACCTACTTGAGAACTGTTTAGCAGCATCAATAAATTAAAGGGGAACATACATGCAAACCAACAAATTCCTAAGTATTTATATATCTAACAGACTAACACCTCAACTTTACTTTTTACATTTAAGCTACCTAAATCTCTCATATTATATAAGAAATGCCATTATTTTGAATTTAAAAATGTGAAATACAACGTTTCATGCATAGGTAAGGTGGCATATATGTAAAAATTGAAGTTTAGATGTAAGAAATGTAATTACATAAAATTGAGTGATATGTATGTAAATCTTCCTAAATTTAATGCTCATTAATAATCATTAAATCAATACGATCACATTACAATGCATGTAAAAAACTTAAGTATTTTTTTTAAAATAAATTGATTTATTTTGAAAATGATAAATATGTATTGTTTCAAATCAAAAAAAAAAAAACAAAAAAAAAACAAAATAGAGAACCCAAAAAAAAAAAAAACAAAAAAAAACAAAATAGAGAACAAAAAATAAAAGCGATCCCAAACAGCCCCTACATAAATGATAACACAAAATATTCTAATTGGCAAGATGATACATCAGACAGCCTGCTGAAAATAATCTCAAACAATAGGTCAGAGCACTTCCATACTATTGCAACAAGTACTACCCTAAATTAACAGATCCTCCTAACCTAAGAAAGAGCAATCAACTAAAAAATCAATCTTCCATCATACAGGGTAACAGAACAGGTCTTATATGCAGATTAAATCCTATCATCTGTATATCTATATCTTCACTATACCTTTTGACACATATTTTTTCAATTTATTGCAAACTAAATCCATTCCACTAGTATCTGATCATATGCCTTTCTAACAAAAGAAAATCATCCGAATTTCTTTTATTGCTTTTTATATTTACATCAATTTAACAAAAAAATACCTCCATATTAATTCTTTTTCGCATAAAAACCCAATTAATTCTTCAACACCAATATCATTATTCGCAATTTAAGTTTCATCAACCTCCCCAGCTAATGCTGTTTTATATCTATCATAAGTTTGACTCTCATATCGCTACCACAGTCCTGAACGTGTTCTTCGTTTTTCATACTATTCAAAATACTTTTTCCGCATGAATTTAACACATAAATTTTTAGGATTTCAGTAAAAAACACTTATAAAATATATTGCAAAAATATCTCTCATGATTCACCAATACTAAATAAACAACTCGATCCAAATCCAGACCCTCTTCAACTTTGAGCATTTTTCTATCAAAGCTAACTTATCTTTAATTTTGTAGTCAATCTATAATATGCTTCCTAATTTTGTTCATTTAGCTCTTCCTTCAAAACTTTGCCAATTCTACAATTAACTAGTTGTGTTGGAGAAGTAAAAGCATAAAGGGAATAAATTATGAACAAATTTAACTGTGTATATACTTACACGTTGGGCTTATTTGGGATCAATTTTGTTAGTATTTTTCCTTTTGTTTTAAAAACATGTTTGTGTACTGTGATTTTACATGCTTTTATTTGTTATTTCAAAAATAAATTAAAATATTATTAAATCAAATGCTTTTAAAAATAATCATACTGCAATTAATAGAATTAATAGTACTTACTCATTTCCTTTCCTTTTCAGATATTTCTTAGTTTTTGTAATTCATTGTTCATGTATTTCCTAGTTTATGTCTTTACTATTCTATAACTCTTGTATTTTGTATTTATACCCTTTTTAATATCAATACTGTTGAATTTCAACAATAATCAAATAACTAAACATGTTTTATTTCAAATCAAAATATAAAAAAAATATAAACAAAATAAAAAATAAGAATGATCCCAAACGGTCCCCGAGTAAATGAAAATACATGATACTCTTATTGACCAAATTAGACTAGTCCCATAGCTACTACAAATCATGTCAAGCAAAAGATTGTTACATTCATCCTTAGTAATATAAGAGAAAACCAAGCTAATTAAATTGTTTATTAAGAACAAAGGATTCAAAGCTAAATGGCATACTCTACAATATGGCAATAGATCAATCTACCATCTGCAACTAGGAAACATCTAAGGTCTGATAATACTCAAAATTAAATAGTACAGGAACCCCATTTGAGGCTAGTTGCCCATCTCAACTCAATTATAGCACATCAAACAACTGTAGTGGGAATGAAAAAGATTGAACCATAGGATATTAGAGAACAATCTCTATATCCTAAATTCCTATATCCTGGTAACCAGCAAAAGGAAAATAAGCTAATTAAAGTATTGAAGACAAATAAGTTTAAGCTGATTGATATCTGTCCACCAGAACATATTCGATAAATCTTCCATCCACAATCAGGCTAGGAAGATTAAAATGTGCTGATCAAATTCAAAGCTAACCGCCCATCTCAACTCATTCATACAGTATCACGGTGATTGCAACGAGAAAGTTAAAGATTGATACAGAAGGAAACTAGTGAACAGGCTATGCATGACCATGAAGCTAAATAGAACAAATCAAAAAGTGATCTAAATGGTAGTCTTTTAATTCAGATCAAAGTCGATATCCCTTAAAATTTCAGAGGATATGCCAAATAACCC